GCTTCAAGAGTGTCCACAGTCACAGGGATGGGGCCCCTCGGGGTCGCCATCCTCGTAACTGTCATCGTTTTTGGGCTCTCATGTCCTTTTGGCGTGTAAAAAGTGTCAACAGTTACAAGGATCAAGCGGGTCGCGGTCGCCATCCTCGTACCTGTCATCGTTTTTGGGCTCTCATATGTTTTTGGCTTGCAAAAAGTGTCAACAGTCACAAGGATGCGCGTGTCCCCCCAAAAATAGGTGAGCCACACCTATGAAAAGAAAAAACCCTCCGCCGGAACCCCCCCGAGTGGAGCCAACGTTAGGAAAAACAAAAAGACGGAGCCAACGTTAGGAGAAAAAAATACCTCCGCCCCCCATGATACCGTCATAGTATTTTGGACTCAATAATGGGTCCCCCTGTTTAGTAGGGAAACCACCACATTTCCTCTAAAGTTGTAGCCTCTGCGAGAATTATGTGATACTATGTGTACTGGCATGTTCTCACTTGTGCGGTTCCTGCGGTTCCCAGGCTATCTTAGACCTGCAGAGGAAGCCGGACGAGAGCAAAAAGAGAGACTGCTATTCAGGATGCTACCACGGCGTCAAGTGTTTCCCTAAATCGGGGGACCCCAGTATTGACCCCAAAATATTATAGCCTTACTATGGGGAAAAGGCATCCTTAATGAAACTCTCACCCATATTTTATATAGTGGTCATTGTTGGGAACTCTTGTGATCAGCAACGCGTTGTGAGCGTCATTGCCAATCTTCTACACCACAATCGTCGCCGCCAACGCCACTTCTATGCTAACAACTGCGATGCAGCTCCTTCCTCCTCCTACTCCTCCTACACACACAATCCTACTGCTTACTACTAGTACTGGTAGTACTGCTGCTGCTGCTGCTGCTGCAAATATCAATTCTGCAACTCTATTCCTCATACACATACCATTGCTGTTGTTACAATTACTAATTGATACTGTTGCAATTGCTAGGCACCTGGTACTAGTACTGCTGCTGCTGCTGCTGCTGCTGCTGCTGCTGCTGCTGCTAGTGCTACTCTTCCTGCTGCAGCAGCGAGTACCACACAATGCTTACTACAACATGATAGCAACGAACAGTTTCAAGAACAATCAGTACTGCTGTGCCAGTTTTAGACAAGGAGCCTAGCAAGTGGTTATGATGTGATCCAGCATTAAGCAAGTGAAATGTCATTTTGAAGTATTCCAGGCCCCGGGCTAGCAGCAATTCGGGTGGAATGCCAAAGGTTGGGGTAAAGGATACCTGCAGCAAGTCGCGCTCCTTTACCGGGAGACCCGATTCCTCGCCCCACCTACCTAGCTCCATAGCACCTTCCAGGATTCAACTGCTTGAACCCTGGTATCCTAAAGCCAAAGCCAAAAGTGCGGTCCCAGTGACCCCATGTCACTATGAGCAGGAGGGGTTTGAAATGGAAGGAGGCTGCCTTGACAAAGGCCAAACAAAGACCAAATTCTTGAGGGCTTGTCCGGTAGTTTGTTTGGCCGATCACCTCCTGCCTTTGGCACCATCCTTTCGAGGAAGAAGCATACCTGCTCGCCAAACCTGAAACATCCTCCTGCCTGCCCCAAGAAAGTTGCGTCTCCTTGAAGCCACAAAATTCGCAACATCACCCTGCAAACATCAGCGGTTCCCCCACTGCAGCCGGAGGCTCCAAGGCCCCCCCGGAAAGCGACCTCCGCCATGGCGGCGCTGCGCCTGAGCTGCGCGCTCCTGGCGCTCGGCAGCGCCGAGGCGAGGAGGGTCTTGGGGGGGCATAGCTGGACAGATAGGGTTTAGAAGTTAGTGTGAAGGGTTTGGGATTTAGGGTGTTCTGGGGGGGCTGAGGGGTATGCATACGGGGTATATAGGTGGAGAAAAGGGAAAGATGGGTCGGAACACAATCTGGCAATTCAATATGGTAACTCAGGGTGTCAGCATTGCTTCATTCTGCGTATTATTCCTCTGGGGCTGAGGGCTTAAAAGTGAATGGACAAGAAGTAGATGGAAACTATTGGGATTAGATGGTGGCTACTGTAGGGATGCACTCCTCCATTCCTCACTAACTTTCTGGAACTTAGTGGTCTAGGAGTCTGGGGGGTTAGGGCATGGGGGTTTCATGGTTCAGATTTTTGTTTGTGCCCTTGCGCAAGTTGGCTTCCGTACATGCGGCCGGAGCAGAATGAGTATGGCGCGTTGGCATAGTCCTGCGCGGTAGTATAGGATTTGGGGTTAGGGCTTCAGGGGGCTTCACACAGTTTCAGGGTTTAGGATTTCATTAGGCTGTGAGGATAGGGAGTAACATGAAGATGAAGAGGAATGGTGGTACTGCAGTGACCATAGATATAATAAGAAAATTCATTTGCTTTGGTGCATCGGGAGCTTGCTCAGGGATCTTGGGGGGAAGACATGGAAAAGTTCAAGCCTGGAAGAGGGGAGCGTGACTGATAACATAGGTTTGTAGGTTTAATAAGAAGTCCTCTTGTATAGGGCTGTCTCAGAATCCTGAGTCTTCTGTTTGCGTTTGTACACTCTGGCGATGCCCTCATCATGATCAAACGGTCCCTAAGTTAGAGAATAGTGGATGCGGATTCCCACGACACTCGTTCTGCAACCAAGTACTTTTTATCTTGTTGGCTTAAACAACCTGGGAGTAGTCTCAGCAAGCACCTTCATTATCCCGACAACTCTTACGCATCCCTCCAATCCCCACAGGCCCTTACAGCTACATGTCTAAGTTGTTTTTTGGTGCCGAGGCTTTCCTAGCACCCAGCGCCCCCCGAGCGCTGTCCACATCGTCTCCCCATCGCTCGACCGCCGAGCCACTGAGGGACCAGGGAGCCAATGGGCGGCTGGCCATGGTTATTATAGAGGGGTTATATTGGGGTCACAGTATATAGGGATTACTTTTGTATATTGGGGTTATATAGGGATTGCTTTTTTATATTGGGGTTATATAGGGATTACTTTTGTGTATTGGGGTAATATAGAGATAATGGAAAAAGAAAATGGAAACTAGTATAATGGGCTATATATCATGCACTTTTCATGCTGACAGTCATGACATAAACAAACAATGCGCGATATGATGTTGTTTGCCATCGTTATTCTTAGAAAGGACAAGGACAGAAGGAGCCTAGGGGCTTCCTCAAAAACTTGGCCATGACGCAATTCATCCTGAGATAGTACTGTTCTTCTGTCAGCATGTCTGCTGTACTTGCTTTGTTTATGTTTGTCGAAATCATGGTTATTTTGAGTAGCGGCTGTCGTGGTGGTAGCAGTCGAGGATGTAGGGACTGGGTGGGTTTTGCGGGCATGTGGCCTAAAGTTCAACCAAAAGTTTACAGTAAGCACATCCGAAGATTATATTCTTGTTGAGATTATCAATAGTACCGTGGTAACTGTAGGACCTGGACCGTCATTGCTAATGAACTGGTTGATGGCCCTGAGTTTGTTTGTCAAGGCTTGGCATTTACAGCCTGGATCCTACATTCAGAGTTGAGGGTCTGGGTTTATTGTCTTATGGGTTGAAGTTTTCTCAGAACTACAGCTCTTCAGCTATTCTGGAGAATCCCAGCGAGCTCGCATCAGAGTTCAATCCTGGCCTCGCGGCCAAGGGAGCTGTATATTTCAGAAGCTCGTTTTGTGTAGGAGACATTTGTGGACCGCAAGTCTGATGAGTTGTCCAATACTGGTAAGTAGTTTGCTAGCCAAGGTGGACGCCTGTGCTGGGACTTGCAGGCCGGACACGCACATAAATCTGACACAGCCCTGCCTAGCAGCCTAGCACGGTCCTGAGAAAGACTGTGCACTGGAGTGAAGCCTGCTGCCCAGAATATGATTGGCTCATCCTCACTGGACGCCTGAATGACATGATTAGCATGCTAGCAAACAGGAGGAATTATCTAAGTGTGCCCCAGTTGGCCTAGGCAGGTACATACTTGCACTTGACCTGTCTCAGCAGGAGGCCCGGCACCCCTCCCGCTTCCCCTCCGCGCTCCAGGCATTTTGGTGATTGGGGCTGTCCGCTCTCAGAGACAGACCTCCCCGACCACCATGTACTTCAAAAGGAAGTACGGCGGCCCCATCAAGAAGGAGATATGTTGCCTAATCTTTGCGGATGGCGAAGTGGCTGCAACAACCAGGTCATATGGAAGCCATGTATTGGAAATTCTTTGATCTTGGCACCAGAATTTGTCCTTCGTCTTGCAAACCGTGCAACGCGTGTATTGTTGATCGAACCTCATGACAAGCATGCTTGTACTGAGCAACTGGGAATGCTTAGCAACTAGGTCTGCCTGGGCCCAAACCCCAAAACCAAGCCCTGCACGTTCAAGTCTCCTTCGACGCTCCTACAATTCAAGCCCTTTACCCTGGGTTTTGCAGCACCTCAACCACAGCTTCCTCCACAAGTCCCTACACACCTGCACTTGGGGATGTAGGACCCAGATGCGGAGTTCGGACCGCAGTACCATGGGCCCAAGGCAATGGGCTGCTTGCACCAGGGTCTCTACCCCATGACAGGGAATACACTGGGGAGTATAGGGGCAGAGGCCTTCTGAACCCTGTGCCAGATCCACCCAAGAATCAATGGTGGAGTCCATGTCCTGCAGGGCTTGTCGAGTCATAAAGAGATTGTGGCAAAGATGTTGGTCAACATCTGAGATCAAAGAGACCAGCGGCCTTTAACAGCTAGGGCTGAACAGAAGAAGATGAGGATCCTAGCTTGCACGCCCTCGGATCAGCCAATGCTTCAGTTATGTTGGGGCACCTAAGGTTTTGCAATAGTAGTTTCCATTTTCTTTTCCATTATCCCTATACTACCCCCATATACAAAAGTAATCCCTATATAACCCCAATATATCCCTATAATCCCTGTGGTTTCCATTTTCTTTTCCATTATCCCAATATAACCCCAATATAACCCCAGTATAACCCTAATATAACCCCAACATAACCCAGGACTTGGCTCTAGGTACTGTCATCTTAGTGATCGGGGCGCTTTCTGCACTCAAGCTCTGCCGTGGACCTATCCCAGTTCATTAAGGGAAATTTGGCTTGAATATTTCCTGAGGAAGACCCACCCCTCCTCACTCCCAATGATTGATGCTGCGCCCGCTAACTGCAAGCTCAACGCATCGTGCCTCAGGGAACCGGCGGAATTCAGCGATCCTCCAGATTGGGTTTCCCTAAGCTGCCTGTCTGAGAAAGGATTAAATTAAGCATCTGGCAGCAGAGCAATGTATCACCATTTGCAAGCGCAAGTATGAGAGACTTCTGCTCAACTTGTCTTGGCTCAACTCTGAGAACCTGCATGCCGGGTTGAGAGTGAACATTTTTCAAGCTTGTTCGAGACATCAGCCTTGAAGCGAAAGTCCCACTCAGGTGGGGTCAGCAGCGCGTCATTCCGAAGCTCAGCGGAGCCTCATATGAGTGAGCCCCATGATTCTGTTGCGATGCTTCAGGTCCAGGGTTGATCAGCTTAGGACCAAGGTATCTGAAGACCAGTGTGAGACAAATCGTCCGGTTGTCCCAGTGAACCAGGACATGCTGCTTCAACATGTAGATCTCGAAGCGCCTTCTAAAGCTTTGTTTGCAAGAATTGGCTGCGATCGAAGTGGCTTGCTGTGCGAAGGGTTTTCAGCCAGCACAGTGGCAGCAGTTACCAACATCTGAACTATCTTGACTCCTCTTTCGTGTCCATTAGATACCCTTTCAGGTTGGTATCAGTCCGTTCTAAAGAAAAAAGACATCCTCATGTCTTGATCCCCAGCAGTCTATGGATTGGGTGCCTGGAGCGGTCCTGTCAGGTACCGAAAGAACACCATGAGGAACCTCACCACCCAGGTCATCCGCCTGGGACGCATTAAGACCACGCGTGCAAAAGCAGAGGCCTGTCATGATAATGGTGATGATGATGATGATGATGATGGGAATCAGTGTGATGATGACGATCGCCTTCAGGAGAGTGATCTCCGCCTGCCTGCTGAATACGAACAACTCAAGACCGTCTTGGCCGGTTTGACTAGATTAGCTAGATGTAAAATGCTTGCAAGCGCAACTGATTTACCTGTCGCGAAACAGTTGTTCAATGCCGTGTGTGCAATGAGTCCAGGGTCTAGACGGTCAGGATGCCTTCATGAATGTGGCATTTTTTCGGGCTACCTGTCCCAAGCCCAGCCCCGAACGTACCGCACAAAGCTAAATGTCTGACTGTCTGAGAAACAGCCTGACCCGGAATGTTTGCAACAGTCTGACATGTACCTGACATGGGCCTATGTAGGATGATCTGAGCAACGCAAGGAGCTTAAAAAGATCTCCCAAGAGTGAAGAGGATTCTCCTTAGATGGAGGCAACCTGAATGAGTACCTGTACTGCAAAAAGGCAAAGCTCTGCAGAATTCAAACGAATCCACAGGCCTGAAGTAGAATCGAGCTTCAGGCCATGCAGGAACTGTTGCTGAAATCCAAGAAGGATGACCATCTCTGTGGCTCTAGCAAGTGCCCGATAAACCCTTGTGAACAGGCGCTCACCCACTTTGTGGATCGCATGATCGTCCTGGCCAAGCGTGGAGATGACCTTAGCAGACGCGAGGCGGGCGTGGACATACCCGATGTTGAAAAGGCTCTAGCCGTAGGGGTAGTAGGAGTAGGAGTAGGAGTACGAGTCTCAGACGCTAAGTCCCTTAAGCCAGGGATCACATTGCATCGCAAATCCTACACCGAGCAAAGGAAAAGCTGAAGGAGTGGCCAGAGAACAAGCAGCAAGGGTGAACCCGTGCATTCTGTATAGCCACACCGCAACGTGATTATCACAAGTGACTGTGATTATCAGGAGCACTGCTATGATCCCACATTAGCACAGCCAAAATGAACATGGTTGCTGGCGCTGATGACTCTAACCCATGAGTCCTGATAGCAGGCTGGCGAGTGGCTCTACGACCAGGTTCTGGTGGACAACCTCTTCAAGCTGGCCGCCTGTCTTAACCCGGTCCGCAGTGACTTTTGTAAGTTGTCAGTTTTTATTGGTTGCGGCTAACGCTGACACGAGGTACTGAGGGTAGCTGGACCTTTGCAGCACAATTGACAGGGTTGAGGCTTCCTTGTCAAGTTGAAATTGTAATATGCATGGTAGAGTCTACATAGGCCCAAGGCAGATATTCAGAAAGCTTCCCCAAGTTGGAATCCTGATGCCTGATCAGCAAAACGCACATAGTCCAACTGTCTACAGCTTACTCAGGCGCCCGAACGATATCCTGGCCAGACCGATGGCTTCTGCAAGGTCACGCGAACCATGAACCGTCCCGGAGCTGCAACAGCTGATTGGCACGACCTTTTTGTTTCAATGGTTGTTCTTTGTTGGGCATGCGGTGTGGAGATAAATCTATCGTTCGTGGTGAAGAAGGGCGGGCTGCCTACTCGTTTCGTCCTTCAATGGCTGGATGGTTCGCTTCCAATACTTTCTGTCACATCGTGACATCCTTTTGGCGGGCCTCCTCAGGCAAGTTGTTCCTGTCTGCCCCACAGCAACATACATGGACGGCATCCTGAATCTGAGAGGCGCCCCCAATGAAATGCACAATTCCGCCCGTCAACCGTAGAAGTCCATATGGCAATCTTGAGGGGGCCCCTGCGAATTCACAATGATGCTGCTCGCTGAAGACATGATGAAGATCTTGTTTGGATTTGTTTGGCGCAGATCGCTGGTGGAAGGACACGGATGGTGATGATTCTAGAGGAGTGATACTGATGATAGATTCGTGGTGTGTGGATTCAAGCTGGTATGGGCTGGCATTGCTGTGAGTTCTGACCCAATCAGTTTAAGCATTCTTCTGGAGCTTTGATGAAGGAATAGTCGATCCTACCTAGATTATTTTCTTTCTTCTGTGTAGAACAAGGTTAATCCTTCCGAATTGGAGCAGCTACAAATCCACAACAGAGGCAAGGGCGACTGGTCTGAGATGGCCTACATTGAGCTGATCTGAGTGCCCTCTCCAACAGCAAACTCACAAGAATATGGCTAAGATAGTGACGGCAATTCTACCACGGAAGTTCAACATTACATCCTTTGGTCAAGGGGCTCTTGGAAATTATGTCGTGTAAGACTTGTAGCTCCTAGCCACCTGGGCAACCACAATTACTCCACACACTGAGCTTGGCCTTCTTAGGGTGTGGGACATTCCATGACCCCTGCAGCCATTCTCCCTGTTTCCCTTATCGTGCCCAGCAAGCAGCACTCATGTCCAAAAGCTCGTGGTTGGGCGGGAGGTTTTGGGAGCGTGTACTTGCGCGTCCCGTGGGTGCTCATTTTTAGATATCTTTCCTATAGCAAGACAGGGCCAAATGTATCCTGAATCCTGAATCGGATTCAACAAAGAGACCTCAGAGAGCAGCCGCATGAATAATCACCAATTTCATGTTGAGTCCATCTGAGGTCCTCCAGACTTAATTACATAAGGAAGATTTCAGGGGCGAGTAGCACCAGGGTGGGTGTTCATGGTCGCTGTGCTCTGTTTGTCGTATGGGTTCAAGATGGTTTTCATGATGTGCGCCAGGACAGGGTCTCCCCTGCTTTCCCTTGCAAGAGACAGGAATTCAATTCATCCAAGAAGTTCGTAGCATGCAAATCCTAATACCCCTCAGGTTACCAATCCTGCAGATGCGGTGGTCCGCTCTCATTTTTTAAGCTTGCAGCATACAGGGCTCTCCGTCTCCTTTAATCTCCTTGAAGTTTGCTGTCCTGCCTGATTTGTCAAGCGCTCCGGGCAGTAGAGTAAGTGGGTAGAAAGATAAGATAATCACAGCAAGTTAGACTGGTGATCCCTCAAGCTCGAGGTACCACCTTTTTCGATAGGAGTTCTGCCAAGAGCTGTCCTAGTAGCTTTAAGTTGAGTATCTGGCGGGGACATCTCTGAAAACCGCCGCCCGATCAAGCTGACTCGCTGGGCGCACGCCTGTCAATATCCCATACCCTAAGCACGCCCCGCTTCACTCTACATGCTTCTCAAATACTCCAAAGAAATTGCAGTGACACGAGTTGATGAGGAGAGGAGGCAGGAGCGCAAAGAAGTGCAGCGGGATCCAACGCATAGAAACCTACGAGATTACACCCAAATCATTCGTCAAACTTGACGCGATGCCAATTCAGATCTCTTGGGGGCCATTTGCGGCTGTGGGCTTTTTTTCTTGAGATGTTCGTGGCCATGGCCGGGGATGGGCAGCTGCCAAAGGCTCGGGGAGCTGGGAGCGTATATCCCCAAATGGGCTTACAAGGATTGGAGCCAGATTCTTGCTCAGCGATTCAGACATTGAGACATCCCGAAAAGTGCTCAGTTAGAAATTGTGTGCAAGTTTCTTGGAGATGTGCCAGGGGCTTCATCGGAGTTCTTAGGACAGAAGGACAGAAAGTTCAGGAGATGATGGCTTCAAGCAATTCCATTCTCATATGTTTCTTGTGCTAGATGAAGGATATCAACTATTCCCTGAACCTGCCTAGATGTTCCAAGTCTTCTGTACGTAGAAACCCAAGTGTAAGACAAGCCCCAGGGCAGTGATCTTTATGGCGGGATTTCAGGTGTTCTGATTACCACGCCCTTCCCTCTGAGGTCGATGCACTTTGCATTGCCAGGACGCACTGCTTGGGATACTCAATGTTGTGGGAACAGGTTGCTGATGTAGAAACTCAAATGATAATTGTTCCTGAGTTTTCCACATGAGTTGTACTAGCCATCGACGGGCAATCAGGAGCTTTCATTGCATGTCGACCAGATTCTTTGACTTTTTGGTTGTCCCTGTCTGGCTCAAGTGAGCGGGTGCGCCCAGCCCGTCCGACGCAACTCCCCTTTTTTTGTCTGACGTGTCTCGAAGAGATTATGAGATGATCAGTCACATGTTTGTGTTACGCGTTTCTCGTTATTGGAGGGACACTGGTAATTGGGTTTCCGAACGCCTGCTGTAAATCGAAGTCGATTCTTTTCCCAAATGAGGCCTGTGCAAGTGCAGCGGACACTCATCAGGGGCTGGCAATCCGACGGTTGCTGCATTATTGATTTGGTAGATCAAGGGCAGGGATCTTGTACTCTTGTGCCTAGGCAGGGAGCGTTCCTACAAAAGCCAAGCAGTTCTAGTCCAACTGGTAGGAATTCTGCGTTCTTAGAGACGGCATCAGCACCTTCCAGTTTTCTTTCCCATTGCTGTAAGGCAAAGAATGGAAGCTACTACTTGATACGATAGTTTTAGTTTTTGCGGATGCTTTGTCCTTCAGATAGTTTCTGCCGAGCCTGCATCAGTAGCAAATATCCAATGATGCAGGTATTGAAACTAGAGGCTCTTGATCGCATGAATGTTTAACCTTCACTTGTTCTGCCATGAATTGGGGACAGGCAGTCATTGGTGCAGGAGCCTTTTTTGCGACTAGGAGCGGACAGGACGCAGACACCTTATGCAAACACAGAAGCCCTTTTCATCTATTGATAAAATGTTATTTTGACTTTATCAGTCTTCTTTACAAGTGAGCGCAATGAAAGTCGGACATTAACCTTAAGGCACTCGGGCGACAATGGCTCTCCGACGCCTGCTCCCGCGCCTGCAACAGGGCTCAATTAGGTGGTCATGAAAGCTTGGAGACCTGACCGGATTAGGAGATGCTTATGCGTCATGCACATGTCGATATGCTATTTGAAGCCCCCAGCTTTCTTCGCCAGCATCGAGCCCTGCACACAGAGGATGAAGCAGTGAGGCGGAAGCTTCCCAATCGTAATGCAATGCCTGGCTTCTCACCATTGGTTCCTGTGGTTTGCCCGGCTAGGGCAGAGGGTCAGAGGAAGCTTGATTTGGGCCAAATCTCAGTCACTTAGTTCTGCAGATTGCGACAGTAGGCCCTCCAAGTAGGAAGCAAAGCCAAATGCTCGAATATTTGTAGGAGGATTTTGAAGTGGTATCTTGCATGGCCGACGAGTTGGCAAAAGAAGCAAGCGATCACTCAACCGTTATCCATGGATGATTTAGGGCGATCTGTGAGAAGAGCATTAGCAGAATTTGTAGGGCACGTGACACGTGCTAAAGGCTCCGGTCCATCTTTGGGGCTCCAGATGTCCGTTTTTTGATCTGGCGCATACTGATTGCTGCAACTCTCTTTCGGAATCATCCGCTGCCCGCCTGCATTTGCTTGCTGCCAGTCAGGAACAGTTATCGCATCCCGCGACCCTCCGAAATTCGTGCAGCTTCTGCTTAAATTCTGCCATGAGTCAGAGGCCCGCAGCGCGCGCCGCGCTGAACTCGGCGACGCGGCAGCGTGGCTGCAAGGGCGGCAGGGACTCCTCAGGGTTCAAGGTCGGAATTTCACTCGATGGTGCCCAGCTGACCTTCAGAGATGCACATTGAGCTGTCGAAGACTGTAGTTGTCCGGGGCTCAAATTGATTCGACGGAGTTCCTGTCGGCTCAGTGTGACATTTGGAAGGAATAAACATTTGGAAGGACCTCTGGCAACCCAGGTCTGTTAGAGGGCTTCAATGGATGAGCACGCACCAGGGCAATCTCTCGTTTCTCCAGCCCTGAAACCTCTGAGAAAACCGATTAAATAGCATTTAGATCGCCAACGCAAAAGACATCATCACAGTTTCTACGAGGCATGGCAACTGCATACTTGCTTCTATGACCGAAGCCACCTCGCCTTCCGAACCAAGGAAAGCCAGCATAGTCTAGGAGCCCTTCATACATCTATCCCCAACCTCACGGCACTTAGAAGGTAAAGCAGACTGAGGTCGCTGCATGCTTCGGCACCTAGGCAGGGGGCGCAATCTCCATGAAGCCGGCGTGCCAAGCAGATTCTTTGGAAGTGTCATGAGGGCACTGCATGGATGATCCTGTCGACTTCGCACCCTCCTGCCAACAGCTTCAAGAATCCTGCTGTGTTGGTCTTCTTGTTTATCACTCCTAAGAGATTGCGCGGCAGAATCCGAATTCTCGTGAGCCCCTGATCAAATCCTGAAAAGATTGCAGGAGCGACTTTGTAAGACGATGACACGAATCTTGCAGGGCTGCTTCTCAGTCAGAGGGTGCATCCCTCCGAGCAGAAACTGGATCTCATGGTTTCATTTCACCATCTTGCAAGATCTCACTGATCCAAAAATGAAGTAAGGGTATAGTATAGACGATGCAGCCACAGACCTTGGGCCCACGAAACCAACCCTGCATCTCCGCAACCAGGAACTCAAGAACCCTAGAGTGCCGGGCCCCTCAGCCTTCAACTCTCAAACCTCAGCCGTTGATCTCCTGGAGATCAAAATCCAGAATGCCCTGGGTCAGGAACGCCGCGAAAGTGAGCCCCGCCGAGCTTACGAAGATCCTCAGCGAGCGCATCGCCAACTTCAAGGACCGCATGGTGAAGGGTTTGGGGTTCAAGTGTGCGGGAGCCTGCATGATTGCCGTTGTGCTGATATAGTTTCAGTATGAAATAAGCCCGTCATGTGAGAAGGGCATCGGAACAGGCGCGTACTCCAACAGCCCAAGCCAGCTAAATCCTTGCCAGGATCAGGCAGACGTTCAGGAAGTGGGCCGCGTGCTGTCGGTCGGCGATGGTATTGCGCGAATCTACGGCCTCAAGGGGGTGAAGGCGGCGCATGCTTTTGGGGATCGAAGCCCTTTGACCTGAAACACCATGGTTTGAAAAGGCCCCACGGCCATGTTCAGGACGACAGTATAGCAAGGCTCAGCACCAGGCCTACATATCTTGCAAGTTGGATGCGTCAGGTGTACCCAAGACACGTGCGGTATTTCCTGGACACTGCACACGACTTGTGTAAAAGGGGCATGATGGATCGGTGCAGCGACTGAGTTGTATGAAGCTTCGCTCTGAACCACCTGCACGGAGGTTTGGGAGACTCAAGAGACTTCCCATCAGGGCGTCAGCTTAGCGATAGCAACAGCAAATGATGAGCCTTCATGTCTTTCCCAAGCTGGCATCAGCACACTAAGCACGAAACCACTTATCCACCGCGGAGCGTAAGTCCAACTTGCATCTTAAAGCGGGACTCCCCTACCTTGCAAGTTGCCAAGCTTTGACACGTTATCTTTTTGCTCTGTACCAGTCAAATCCCCGCAACTGTGGCAGGCCGGAGAGATGGTGGAATTCTCCAGCGGCCTCAAGGGAATGGCCCTCAACTTGGATCCCTGGCGGCTGGGGATTTTGAGGGAGCTGTGGTTGTGGGTGCTTTGCTTGTTATGTGAATCATCAAGGGTTCAGACACCTTCATCACGAACTCCAGGCCTTCATCCCCCAATCCTCAACCTTGGTGCTTACACTGAGACAGCCTTTCCTCATATCTTTAGCCTGGAGAGACAAGGAAACAGACAACGTGGGCGTAGTCGTCTTCGGAGATGACCGTGCCATCGTCGAAGGCGAACAACACACGGTGAAACTTCAGCCAGGTAAGGTAGAACCAGTCACTAATTAGGCTGCATGCGCGCATGTCTACATATGTAAACGCGTTTTCTCCCGCGAGAGAAATCGGATCCCGTTCTCAACAGCTGACTGCACGGATTGTGCCAGGATGCCTCATGATTGTACAACTGCGCTCAAGATACATGATGGATAGGGCTGTCTACAAAAAAGAACTGCGCATTGGCCCGCTTAAACCCATTGTGCGGATGCTCATGAAGGCCTCAAGCACACTTGTCGTTTCTTCAATGTTTGTTTAAGCGTCCGCTTCATTGGGTATTGGGGAGGGATGTGCATTAGGGTGCCCAGCCCCCACAGCAAAATAGGAGCCCGTTCCAAGGACCCAACTTTTTTGAGAAGCAAGGGTCGGAGACCAGGTGACAGTGTGAAGTGCACTGGCACAATTGTGGATGTGCCCATCGGCGAGGAGCTGTTCCAGCCTCAGATCGTTCAGAGCCAGGTGTTGTTGCAAGGGAGCATATTATATGTAATCCCTGCCGCGTAGCATTAAATCTCTCAGGCCTTCATAACGCATGTTCTCTACACAGTGCCCATACGCAATCGCGGGAGCACGCATTGTAGAACGCTCAACTTCGTAATCCGCATTTTAGGGATTCTCAAAAAAAACACAATTTTCCTTTGGAAACCGAAAACCCAATACCCTTGTAGTCCCTAAAGACCTTTCTCAAACCATATACGACCCCCCATAGAACCCTTCCAACCCCCATATAACCCCTATCACGCCTCTGAAGCCTTGAAATCCTCCCAAGTCCTTCAGGCTTGGTCGCGTGGTAGATGCCCTGGGCACGCCCATTGACGGTGCCGGGCCGTCCCTTGGCTCAAAGCGCCTTCAAGGCTATACCAGGGGTATATGGGGGTTTCCCAACATTAAGGGGTACCATTTTGGAGGTCCCTATAATAGGGACTATAATCTTTTGGGGTCTCTCTTGGGGTCCCCTATTTTGGGAAACTACCAAAAGGGTGTTCAGTAGGGCCTTGTGTAGGGGTACATGTGGGTTTCCCAAAATTAGAGTCCCTCTTTGCTGTCCGCCATAATCAGGATTATAATAGTTTGGGGTACATAAAGCGTACCATAATTTATAGAAGCTACCATGTAAGGGGTTTTGAAGGAGTTTTAGAGGGGCAATGTTGTACTGGAATTTCCGGGGTGACAACAACCTTCCTGTAGTTATACGCGGGCTTTTTGATTGCAATCATGCTTCAGTTCTTCAAGGATTACCAGGCAATGAGATGGTTGGATTTTTCAGCTGCAGGATTTAGGAATTAGGATTTAGGGTATTTGGCGGGTTAGGATTGGGGGATTGGGCTTTGGGTGTGTCATTTGGAGCTTAGCGTTTGTTATTTCAGACTGTTGGATTTGGGAATTCCGCAAATAGTCGAGTGATTTGCATTTGCTCGCAGGCATTCGAAACAAGCAGAGCATATCATTTTCTACCATGTAGTTGAGGAAGATGGGTAGCTCCCGCGGGTTAGCGTCCCGCTTTGTACCCAGGCATCCGCCAAGAATTTTGATCTTAAAAAAGCCACATGCACCATTATCAAGAGGCCAGTAAACAAGCCAGTAACCCAGCAGCCAATGTCTACAACCAGGATAGTTATGAACCCTCCACCCCGGCAACTATCCTCAAGTAGATCCACACGTGTGGGACCCATACTGTGCTCCTTTTCTCTAAGTCCCACTCCCACTGCTTCTGACGCTGCGTGAGGATTCAGACCAAGAGCCGCCGCCGAGTGGAGCTTAAGGCACGGCTGAGGTGCTATGAGATGGGAAGGCGAAGGAAGTGGTAGTTGCAGGAGCAACAGGAGGAGAGGAGTAGTCCTAGCTGTACCAAAGGGTAGAAGCAGTCCGGAATTCAAGATCAAAGCTTTTGCGTTTTTTTTGGGTTCGGACCCAAGCACATGAGAAAGAGAGAGGGATCTGCACGTTGACATCTAGCCAGATGAGCCCAACTTGACCAACACACAGTTTCGAATGATATGAAAGAGAGGAGTGCGTACCACAGAACGTCTCTCATCACGCTGCCTGCGAAGCAGTGGTTGACGCCAGCTCAGCACAGAATAAACCTGCAACCAGCTGCACAGGTATTGCTGCCCATGCCTTTTTTTTTTACTTCGAGGAGTACACATGTCAGAAGGTAGTGGTTGTTGGATCAAGATCATTAAGGTTGTCCTTGCTCGCAGGTTCAATAAAAGATAGCAAGCCAATACGTAGCTCCTTACAGTTCCCGCGGTTGAAGAACTTCTGACTGGCGCAGGCCCCGGGCATCATTCCTCGGCAAAGCGTGCACGAGCCCATGACTGCTGGGCTGAAATTCACAAGTGCCGCTTGCAACGAGCAATCCTGACCTGCGTGGTGTTTCTCTGAAGCCGGCAGATAGCTACTGCCGCAGGCCTTAGCTTTTGTTGGCAGGACCACTGGCCTGAAGGCTGTGGACAGCCTCATCCCGATTGGCCGCGGGCAGCGAGAGCTGATCATCGGCGACCGCCAGACCGGAAAGACGGCCATCGCCATCGACACGATCCTCAACCAGAAGGCCCAGCCAACTCCGCTGTTCTGCATCGGCATGCAACAGCATGTGTACCAGGCGATCAACGCCTCGGCTGACAAGACGGCCCACTTGTACTGCATTTACGTTGCGGTAGGCCTGGGAACTTGCTTGGGCTTCATTTCTGAACTCGATTGGATTCATCAAAATAGCTAAGAGCTCCGAAGGACAGAAGCGATCCACTGTGGCGCAGCTCTTTGAGATTCTGCGAAAGAACGCGTCCTGGCCAATCTAAAGCAAGAAGGTGTCATTTTTCGCCATTGAGCTTGACACGTGGCCGTCCCCGCATACGGGTCCATGCAACCATTTGCACGCCATCCCGATGTGCCATGCTTCCGTCTGCAGCATGCCTTGACAACCAGAGAGACCCTCGTAGACGTTTCTCAGCATCCGCAGACCCTTGTTCACGCACGGATCTGGACAGACCAAAATCGATTCACGACGCTTGAAACTCCTATCGTACATCGGATTGTTTGAAAACAACCGCTCCCTATTGCCTAACGGGCACCTTCATGATCCCCTTATAGTCCCCATGCATCCGGAGCGTCCCCATAATGCCCAAATTCTGCACAACCTCCACATGCTCAGAAAGAAGCCCAGGATTGCTTGAAGTACACGACGGTCGTGGCGGCGACGGCCTCTGATGTCCCTTGGCACGCAGCAGCAGCTTCATTTATTGACGGGAAGTAGGGCACGGAGGCATGGATCCTTGGTCTGATCCCCAGTGCTACTGTAGCTTCCATTCTCTTGTCCGTTCTTTCGTTCCGTACTAACCCTGGCACACACAGAGGCTCAGACTCCAGATTCACGAAGACAGTCCGACATCAGGTGACTGTTGTTGCTGTCTTGCTGTCCTGTTCTATGATATGAGTAGCGGCAGTAGTAGCAGGGGTTGTAGTTGTAGTACGTACTCTTGAACTTCGACACTCAGAGCGAAATCAAAGAAGTGTGCAAGGGAGATGTCCTCGATTATGCACTTGTAGCTAGAAATTCTCGGAGTAGCGACAAAGCTCATATATTTGTAGAATTATGCTTTTGCCATGCAATGCATCCACTTGTGAGCTGATCACGCGTGGTTCTGAGATGGCTGGGCTGGAGTTTAGGACAACACACGCAGGTATTGGAAAGCATAAGCTGAATCATGCAGAATCCTTTTCAGCCAGTCTTCGCATCCGCTGAGCTTGCTTGTAATGTAGGGGGAGACGCGCTGCGTCGGGATTGCCCTTGCAGGGTCTCTTCGAAGATATGCATGGCAGAAAGTGAGGGGACTCCACCCTCCCTGACGTATGAGGAGTTTCTGTCAGGCGCAGATGACCAGCTACTCTTGTCCTACCCAGCAAAAGTTGCGGCCCTCCCATACATGGAGCAACTTTGTCACACCGCTGGCCGGGTGTGGGGCACGCATGGCTGTTGACGGTGAACAGACCCCCCTTGAGGCCAACGCGCTTGAGGGCAAGCGTATGACAGCGGAGCGACTGGGCTAATGCGTCCGCTGGGGGGGGGTCTCAGAGGTGCCTTGGGCAGCTGCAATTGCTGTCTGACTCGCATCGGCCGAATGGCATTGAGCCGCCATGTGAAGCAGGGGAGGCCAACTTGACAGCTCATTCAAAATGTGAGAAATGCAATATTGCCGCTCATATGATTCTCGATTAGGTATCCTTGACCATATTCAGTTGCTATTTTGCCAGCTACGGTTGTCCCGTTTTGCTTCACCGCTTTCCAACATTCAGCAAACAATATTTTTGCACCTCAGGAAAGCGTGATGCACCTGGCAGCCTTGACCATCCAACCCCAAACCCGCACTAGTTACCACAGGTTCTGCAACGTAGTTTGAAGATTGCGCGTCCCTTGACCTGAGCCTGGGCTTTGAGGTGTTCAACCGCAGCAGGCCTAGGCAGCAGTTGCAGGGGCAGGCATGGGCCGTGTTGGGCCCATTCACTGTCCCATGAACTTGCAACAAACATCAGTATCCTTTACATGGGAGCCCCAGGATCCACAAGGATAGCTTTCTGTTGTCAAGGACCCATCACACATGCCCACGCCTGTGGCGCACCAGTGGCACGAGGGATGCGATGCCCTGTGCTCCAATCATGCTCTGCGGATCTTTACGGCAACAGCTTGGCACAGGTTGTGACCTTTTGCAGTCCCATTCGATTCATATTTGTGTCCAGGAACCTTGCATATGTGAACACAGGGGTCAGCGGTGATTCTTCACATCTCGTAGAATCCTTGAATGCTTGGTAGGATCCACAGCCAGGCACCCATAATCTTGATCCCTGCGGTGCAAACAGTCCTTTCCTTCCCTTTTCTGGAATCCTGGCCAGGCCTGAAAGAAGGCCTCACCAGGGACCAGCCCGACCATATCAAGCTCTCTTAGTTTGCCTCACCCACCTTAAACACAACACCCTGCCATGCACCAGCCAGTTCTACAGCCATAGACCTGCCGCGTCTCCCAATCCGAGGCCGCGCCTCTGCAATTCCTGGCACCGTACACGGGCTGCGCAATGGCAGAATACTTCCGCGACAACGGCAAGCATGCTGCGGGGCTTCCCAGCAACTGATGGTCGATACCACAGGTAGGATATGTGTATGTATGGTATGTACATATATTTGTATGTGTGTGTACATACATATAGAAAATTTTGCGCTGAAGGCATGAAGGCTATCCAGTCTCATCGCAACATGGTAGAGCATGAGGCAGCACTTCTTGTGGCTGTGTCTACATCATATTGAATATTGTGGTTGTTCTTTAGATTTGTTATGCGCGCTCTGATGCTTCGCTGATGATCTGATGATCACAAGATCTTTTGGGCATCTGAAGCTTTGCAAAAAAGCTATGAAATGCGCTGGAGCACAACAATCGCCCAGGTCATCTTCTACGATGATCTGTCCAAGCAAGCGGTGGCATACCGCGCCATGCCTAAACCGGATTGCAGATCCCTCTCAGTAGGATTTCAAGCGGGGATGCGATAGTCCCCAATATATAGAGTACCTTATCCAGATGGGTATAGTCGTTTAAGAGAAAATGACCTTACCTGGTTCCACCACAAAACCAAACTACTACACACAAGAGTGGCTTCCAATAAATCGAAATTACAGCTTCCATGGCATTGTCAGAAGTAGTCTATTGTCTACACCAGCATTACATTCGCGCTCATGGGAAAACAAAACGCCGCACAGCTATACATCCTTATGGCCTTCCCGGTAGAATCCACAACAACAGCGCTCAGAATCCACTCCTCCACTCGCGACTAAGCAGATGGGAGTCAGCTTCACCCCCCCAAACACAGAAAACCGGTTCTGATTCCGATAGTCCCTCAAGGCATAAACCCCCCAAACCTCTCGCCTGAAAACCTTCCCTGCCCCAGTCTAACCAAAGCAGAAGTTCAGGTCAGATGTCGCTTCTGCTGCGTCGGCCGCCTGGACGTGAGGCCTACCCAGGCAGGATTTTTACTGGCTTCAGACAATCTGCGAGTTTCCAACGACATGACAACGGTTCGATTTCTTGTAGTCGGAACCGCTGCAACTGAGGATGTTTTATGATTCCGTAGGTTTTGAAGCAAAGGGCTGCTGGTTTGAAGCTTGAGATTTGTTGGCTTTGTCTTTCAAGATGTTTGCATGCTCCAGCATGCAGAGACCTTCAAAAGCTTGGATGCAGTCATGGTTTACCATGGCATGGTTTCAGCTGAAAGCGGCTTCACCATCACGCATGTCTTCACGGAAAAGGCATGCAGAGAACGTCAAGGCTAACTTTCAAGACTGTTGAGTTCCCCTGACACAGCGCCAGGTGACGTCTTCTATCTGCATAGCCGACTCCTGGAGCGAGCTGCCAAGATGAACGAGGCAGACTGAAACACTTTCCCCCCTCACAAGCAAGCAGTACTATCCGCCCAAGGCGAGATGAGTTTGAATTTGAACGCACGTTGCATCGCCAACTCAAAATGAGGTTGCAGCTGGGCTAGCGTCAAGGGCTTCACAGATTGTGCTGCCGCTCGCGGTTCCCTACTCCAAATCAGCTCCTTAACTTGGCCAAGCGTAGTCCCAAGAATCGATTCTTCCGTTCTTCCGATCCATTGCCAAGCACGGAATCCTCCTCACGTGCAAGTGCGGAATCGCGAGCTGCGAATCCT